TCCTTGTCCTTGGAAACTCCCCCTCCTTATCTGGATAATTCATCTGATACTCAACTCAGCTGTCTCTTCCTCTGTGGAGACTTCTCTGACCACCTTCCCAGCCCCAGTCTGATTTAAGTGCCCATCCTTTGTGCTCCCTCTTAACACTGCATTATGTTACAATCATGGAGGTTAGGAATAAATGTGTCTTTACATCTGTATCATCAGTACCCCTTGTCTAGTGACTGAAGGTTCTTGTTATTTTTTTAAATCTTTTTTTTTTAATCCTCACCCTAGGATATGTTTTTATTGATTCTAGAAATAGGAGGAGAGAGAGAGAAGAAAAGGAGGGGGAGAGAAAGAGAGAGAGAATAGATGGATGGATGGATGGATGGATGGATATATAGATATATAGATAGATAGACATCAATCGGTTGCCTTCTGTACTCCCCATGACCAGGGATTAAACCCAAGACTCTTTGGCTTGGGATGACACTAATCAACTGAGCCACACTGGCTAGGGCAGTTCTCATTAATTTTTGATGATTGAACTGACCTTTTTACCTTATTGGGGCCACAATTTTAAATGCACAAACACCAACCAAAAAAAAAAAAAAACCCTTGAATCTCATAAAGTCTCTAGATCCAACTACCACTTTAAAAGAAATAGAGAGGACTGGAGAATGTTTTACCTAATATCATAGAGTTGCTGTTGGCAAAAATCTAAAATTCTGTGAAATTCCTTTCCTTAAGACAGCTACATTTCTTTAACTGCAATCAAGAAATTGAAGTGTATGGAGCTTTTTAGATCCTGATTTAAAAAAGAAAATACAAAAAAAAATATGACTCAGAAATATAAACACTGCATATTTTATATTAAGGAATTATTGTTAATTTTTTATATGTGATAATGTATTATGCTTGTTTTTAGAGCCCTTAATGTCCAAATAATCTAAGAGGCGGAAGTGGGAGGTGAAGCAGATAAATTGAATTGCCCATGAGCTGATTGTTCTTACTAAAGCTGGGTGATGGGCACATTGTGCTCTTCTGTCTCTTTATTTTTTTAATTTCTATAATAAAAAGTTTTATTATGTTAAAATACACATTACATAAAACGTAATTAAAATATATTTTTACTAGAGGTTCAGTGCACAAATTAGTACATGGGTGGGTCTGGCTGGCTCACCCTGACCGGGTCCAGCCAGTGGTAGGGAGGTTGGCCAGCTGGCCCCGCCCCCATCGGGCCAGTTGGCCGCTACAGCACGTGTCATAGTGATTGGTCATTCCGGTTACTTGGCTTTTATATGTATATTAGAAGCCCAGCACACAAAATTCGTGCACAGGTATAGTCCCTCAGCCTGGCCTATGATAAAGGCCATCTTCCCTGGCTGGCTGCAGGCATCAGGCAATCAGGACCTGCTGGCCAGGGAAGGGACTGAGAGGTCATCCATTCCCGCCCACTTGCTGGCCCCACCCCCACCACGGTTGCCCTCTGTGTGTAGGGTGACTGGCGGGGCAGGGGCCTTGTCCTGGTGCTGCCCGCATCCTCCACCACCCACCCCCTGATCCCCATTTGCCATCGGACAATGGATGCCTGCCAGCCGGGGAAAGGGACCAAGAGGTGGTCAGTGTGCCTCATAGTGACTGGTAGAGCAGTCGTTCTGGTCGTTCCACCGTTAGGGTCAATTTGCTTATTACCCTTTTATATAGAATAGGCTGGAGTCCTGGTGCACAAATTCATGCATGGGTGGGGCTCCTTGGGGTGGCCTGTGGGGATCAGCTCCAGCTCACATCCCCAGCTTTGCAGTCTCAGCTTGCACCCCCAGCCTTGCAGCCCCATAGCCCCGCCTGGCACCCCACCATGGCCTGGTACTGCCCCTCACCTGCTCCACCATCCCGCCTGCAGGGAGATCAGTCAGAGCCAGGTCCACCGGCTCAGTTCCCTCAGCACCAGGGAGCCAGGCAGCGGCCATGCCCCCCCATCGCCACTGCTGGTGACTATCTGCAGGGCGATCAGCTCACACCCGCCTTGTGCTGCCCACTCACCTGTTCCTCCATAACACCATGGTCCTGCTCTCATGGGGGCTTATCGGGGCTGGCAGCACCTCCACCCGCTCGCTGCCAATGCCACGTTGCCGACGCCTGCCATGTTCTGCACTGCTCCCTGGTAGTCAGAGCACATCTAACTCTCCGTCAGCTGAACTCCCACCCGGGGAGGACAATTTGCATATTAGCCTTTTATTATATAGGGAGGATGAATTGTATCTCAGTAAAGCTGTTTTCAAATAGAAGTTGAAGACAGTTTGTGTTCATATTTTCTCTCTCCAACCCATACCCCCTGAACCTAATATTCTAGTGAATTAACTTTGAATTAATACTTATTACCTAAAATTAAGTGATTATTACTTGCCAGCAGCTACTTTCTTTGTTATACCTTTTAGTTTATATTATAAAGAATGGTCCTGGCCATGTGGCTCAGTTGGTTGCAGCATCATCACCAAAAGACTGCATGTTTGATTCCCAGTCTGGGGGCACATACTTAGGTTGCTGGCTCAATCCTGGCAGGGGCATATATGAGAGGCAACCTATTTCTCTCTTCCTCTCCCCCTGCCTAAAAATCAATAAAAACATCCTCAGGTGAGGATTTAAAAATATGTATCTATATATAATTTTGTTTTCTGTCACTACAGGAGTATATTTAATGCCATAACATAAATATAGTAATATATACACTTGATATATATATACAGGAATGGGCAAGTGTAGATTTACACTAATTTGTATGGAAACTAATACAATAATTAATAAATAATAGTACACAAATAAACTCTGTGCTTCATATACTCACAACTGTAAATGCACTTTTGCCCCACACTGTATACATTAGCACTCTTTGGGTAGTGAGGTACAAGTGTTTGCTTCTGTCTTCCTTCTAGTCTATATTTTGCAAGTTTTCAAATTAAGCTACTTTTATGCTGGACAAAGATAGATATGTACAGCCAAAACTGGTTTGGCTCAGTGGATAGAGCGTCAGTCTGTGGACTGAAGAGTCCCAGGTTCGATTCCGGTCAAGGGCATGTACCTTGGTTCGGGCACATTCCCCGTAGGAGGTGTGCAGGAGGCAGTTAGTCAATGTTTCTCCTTCATCGATGTTTCTAGCTCTCTGTCCCTCTCCCTTCCTCTCTGTACAAAAATCAATAAAATATATTTTTTAAAAAGATATGTACATATTCTTCAGTTAATCAGAAAAATTTTTTTAAATATATATTTTATTGATTTTACACCGAGGGGAATTGAGAGTGATAGAGAGAGTTAGAAATGTCGATGTGCCCGCAACCAAGGTACATGCCCTTGACCGGAATTGAACTTGCAACCTTTCAGTCCGCAGACCGACGCTCTACCACTGAGCCAAACTGGTTTTAGCTAATCAGAAAATATTTAGTAAACTTTCCATATATGTGGAGTCAGCATATATATTTTCCTAGGCTTGGTTGTTGGGTAAGAAAATTATTAGGTACTTTCTCACTAAAGGTAGAGACCATGTCTTTTAAAATTGTGTAGGCTATGATACCTACCTTGTGCCTTATACATAGAGAGGCCAAGGAGATAACTGTTGAATGAGCACAGAAGCGATTATCCCTAGCTTGGAAGAAAATAATTATATTTTAATGGTTGTGAAGCTTTTACTGGTCTTGGTATACTTCTCTGCTTGTTTATTAACTCACATTCAATAGGCAAATTGTGTTTATTCTGTCTCCTAGCTCTAGAACTAGTAATTTATTTTCAGTGATTCTAGAATTAATAATAGTAAAACCAACTACTGTTTCCTAAAATAATAAGAAAAGTAGAATGGACAAAAAACACATAATATAAATCCAAAGCACTAAACAGCAATTAAAAAATTCTACCCGTGCTAATTTACTATTTGATTGTCAGACAGTCTACATGTATATTAGACATAGCAAATACTAAAGCAATATTTGACAACTGACCAAATAAATGAATGAAATATTATTGATTAAAGAATTTTAAGTAATATCCTGAAAATCTACATGGGAAGATATTATGAGTAAATGGAAGCTAGAATAAAATCAGTGTCTTTTCCAACCAAGACCCAAGAAAATTAAGCATTTCTTTAATGACTTTGAATTTGTGACTTTCGAAGGCCCAGCAACTCTTACAAATTAAAGGACTTTTATATTTCTAACACACTGTTATATAACATAAATTATAATTTTCCAATATATTTTATTTAATATAGTAACTTAGTTTAATAGGTTGTACATGAAAGTAATTTTCAGACTTTTCCTTATGAAGGACTGACTATAGGCAAGCTCACCAAAGTACTAGATTTACTAAAAATCCAAGTCTAGGCTTTTAAGAGGAGTTCATGTGCACACAAGGCATGTAGGGAATGAAAAGAATGGGGGTAAATTCATTGACTGAAAAATGGGCTAGAAGATGGAAGATGACATTAACATTCCTTTGGGAGAAAAATAATTTCAACAAAAGGTAACAGTCTCAGCAGAAGCATGACATGGAAAGGTTGGCTGAAAAGTCACTATCTAGTCTAGCTACTTACAAACTTTTAAAGTAAGAAGCAGAACCCTTTATTTGAATGAAAACTTACGTAGAATGCTATTATGTAAATTGCAAAAGCTGAGCTGTTTTGGTTGGTACAGGGTTCGGAGTATGTAGGAACCAAACCCATCCTCCTTGGCCTCCCTGTCTATCCCAGTGGACTCTAGGGAACACAGTTTAAAAACAAATCTAGTTTATGCTTATTTAAAAACACAACAACCTGGCTCCAATGGAACCTGATCATTAGGCAGGTGTTAGACATTAATTTGTTAAAAAGAAGCATTTTTCTCAGATTTAAAAAGATAGACGTTGTTTTCTTATCCTTTACAAAAAAAAAAAAAAAGTGTTGCACTATTGAGATTATCAGCAGGAGGAATCACTCCACTTACTTGAGATTCTTCTTCCCTTGACCCTCTTGGGGCTGGCTTTGTGTTTTTTAGCTCTTGAAAGTAGTCTCTCAGCTAGCCAAGGCTAATCTTCGAGTGTTGGTCCTGGGCCGGAAACATATGACAGTACAGAGTGCTCGGTGGAGAAAGGATGAGATGGAAAAGGTGCAAAAGCAAGCCAGCTGTTTCTTTGCTGACAACATGTAAGTACTGAAGGTAATAATTAAAATACACCAGGCTCCTGTCATCTGTTTGTTAATTATCTATTTTTTTTTGCCATTTTTTAAAGTGTATATGTATGTATACTCAGTCTCATTAAAAAAAGAAAAAGAAAAAAGATTTGAGGCAGCTTACAAAAATAGTTTCTACAGCAGAATAAATTTAACTATCGAATAGGTTAGACTAAGGAATCAGGATAAAGGAAGAATGGGAGAAAGATATAGTGAGAAGTGAGATTATTACACAGAGTGCATGCTATAAGGTCCTAAATAGATCATTTAACAAATACCTTACAAATATGAGCACTTTCTGTGTTCTTGGAGAAGAGAACAAGACCAACAAGTCTCTGATGTCGTATGACTTATAGTAAACAGGTAAACGAGTTATATAATTCCAGGGTCAATGCTATGAAGACTAAAGCAGAATAAGTAAATAGGAAGAATTAGATAGGGGTAGGTCAGCGGGTAGGGCGTGCAATAGTTAGGAAAAGCCTTTGGGAGGGGGCAATTCTGAAGGGAATCAGTGAGTCATTTGAGAAAGGGGGAGGGGTGATGGGAAGAGCATACCTGGTACAGGGAACATCAAGTGTTCAAAAAGCAGGAATGAGTTTGGCGTGAGGAAGGCAAGCAGGCCAGTATAGATGGCTGTAGCTGCAAGAAGGAAAATGGTAAGTTCTAGGGTCAGAGAGAAGGCAAGGACCACATTGCAAAGGAACTCAGGGTAAATAAGCCAAGGGCCTGGATGTTACTCTGAATATTACAGAAATGTTACTATGGGCTACAGCTTCTCAGAAAGCCAAAGGAGTATGGAACACATGGTCAACAACAATATGAACAGTGTCCATAAAGTGAGAAGAATGAACTTAATCAGAAGGAGCACAGATCCTCAGCAGGATAAATGAACTTTAACTTGCATTTCATTTTTCATACTATATGCTGACAAAGTTTATTTCCAACTTTGCATGGATAATGTGTGTGCCTTAGCCCCAAGTCTAGGTTTCATTAGGTTGTATGTGATAACTTAAAGATATGTCAGTATTCCTCAAACCATTTATTCTGTTCTTATTTTTATAACTGTTTTATTAGAAATATTTTTTAAATGTGTTGCCTGATCTTCTTTTTTAAAATATCTTTGTTGTTGAGAGTATTACAGATGTCCTTGCCCCCTCTTAAGTTTCCCCCCATTGCCCTCCTCCACCCAATCCCATTCCACCGTAAGCCTTCACCACCCTATTGTCTATGTCCATGGGTAATGCATATATGCATATAAGTTCTTTAGCTACTCTATTCTTACCCTGCCTTCCCTCTGATTCTCAATCTGTTTCATGTTTCCATGCCCCGGATTCTATTTTATTCACCAATTTATTTTGTTCATTAGATTATTTGTTCATTTATTTTGATTTTTAGATTCATTTATTGATAAATATGTATTTATTGCCATTTTGTTGTTCATAATGTTTTTCTTTTTTCTTCTTTTTCTTAAAGAAAACTCTAATGTTTCTTGTAATCATGGTTTGGTGATGAACTCCTTTCGCTTTTTCTTTTCCGGGAAGCTCTTTATCTGACCTTCAATTCTAAATGATAGCTTTGCTGGGGAGAGTAATCTTAATTATAGATCTTTGCTTTTCATCACTTAAACATTTCATGCCACTTCCTTCAGGCCTGCAAAGTTTCTGTTGAGAAATCAGCTGATAGTCTTATGGGCACACCCTTATAGGTAACTAACTGCCTTTTTTTTTTTTTTTTTTTCCTTGCTTTTAAGATTCTCTCTTTGTCTTTCACCTTTGCCATTTTAATTCTGTGTCTTGGTGTGGACCTCTTTGGGTTCATCTTATTTGGGACTCTGTGTTTCCTGGGCTTGTAAGTCTATTTCTTTCACCAGGTAGGGTAAGTTTTCTGTCGTTATTTTTTCAAATAGATTTTCAATATCTTGTTCTCTCTCTTCGCCTTCCAGCACCCCCATAATGGGAATATTGGTGTGCTTGAAGTTGTCCCAGAGGCTCCTTACACTGTCTTCATATTTTTGGATTCTTTTTGCTCTTCTGATTAGATGTGTTTTGCTTCCTCATGTTTCCAAATTGCTGATTTGATTCTTTGTGTCTCTATTGTTGATTCCCTGTAAATTATTCCTCAGCCTTCATTTCTGACTTGGTCCTTTGATGTTCTAAGATCTTTGAAATTCTCACTAAGTTCTTTGACTTTCTCACTAAGATCCTTGAAGCTCTGATTAAGTTCCTTGAGCATCCATTGTTTTGAACTCTGTATCTAGTTTGTTTTGAACTCTGTATCTAGTAGTTTGCTTGCTTCCATTTCATTCAGTTATTTTTCTGGAGATTTCTTCTGTTCTTTCATCTGTGACATGTTTCTTTGTCTCTGCATTTTGGCTGTTTCCCTGTGTGTGTTTCTATGTATTAGGTAGAGCTACTATGTCTCCTGGAATTGGTAGAGTGGCCTTGTGTAGTAGGTGTCCTCTAGGGCCCAGGGGCTCAGTTTCCCCACTCACAGGGTGGGCCCCTATGTGGTACAGTCTTGTTGTAGTTGAGCCTTGATTGCAGTTGTCTTCTCCAAAAGGAATTGACCCCCAGGCCAATTGGCTGTGAAGATCAGCTGTAACTACAGTGTAAGAGCTGCTGCTCAGGAGACATCCCTGTGGAGTAGGGCTTGCTTTAGTGCTCACTGAGAATGCTCTTGAGTGTGTCGCTTGTGGATTTGGTAGAGCTGTAATCTGATATGGTCTGAGGCTGTCCCCCGGATGCACTGGCTCTGGGGCCTCCTGAGATGTGCAAAGTCAGCCACCGCCTGTTCCCTGCCTCGGGCCACCTGGCACGAGCTACAGAGTGATCTACAGGTGACTGCTACTTGTGTTGGGCTAGGAGGTGCCCAGGAGAGGCCAAGCTGTGACCTGGCAAGCTGCTGCTAGTGGGAGAGTACAGTTGAGCTATTAAGAGTCCCAAGCAGCATTTCTTTCCCCTTACTACCATCTGTGTTCTAGATAGTGTTGCCTACCAGCTAACATGGTTCCTAAGTATCACTGAGATTATGTTGGTTACAAATGCAAAGGACCACTGAGGAAAGTAGAATAAGAAATAGAAAACAAACATCACTCCAGTTCCATCTATAATGCACTCCAGTTCCATTCATGGAACTGGAGTGCATTATGCTAAGCTAAATAAACCAGTTGGAAAAAGATAAACATCACATGATTTCTCTCATATGTGGGATATAATGATGAACATAATTTGATGAACAAGAGTAGATGCAGAGACAAATGGCAGGGGGGACAGGTAGAGAGCAACTAAAGGACTTGTATGCATGAATATTAGCATAACCAATGGACACAGACACTGGGGCGGTGGGGGCTTGCCCAGGGTGGGAATGGCTGAGGGGTGGGGGAATGTCAATTGGGGAAAAAGAAGACATATGTAAAATTTTAGACAATAAAATAATAATAATAATAATAATAATAATAATAAAAAGTATAAATAACATGGTGAAGAATGCTATCCTGTGCCTTCTCAGTGGTGTACTTGATTGTGTTCTCTCTTTTGCCTGACTCAGCTCAGAGGATGATCCGTTCCTTCTGTATGCCACACTGAACTCAGGGAATCACTGCAAGTTTATCACAAAAGATCTGCTGCGGGACCATAAGGCCTGTCTACCTGATGCCAAGACCCAACGCCTGTTCTTTAAGTGGCAGCAGGGACATCAGCTGGCAATTATTAATAGGTTTCTAGGATCAAAAATAATTTTTCAGGTATGTCATCTGTTCTGTACATAATGTCAACAGAGTCAAGTACATGGTAAGAATGTGGCATCGCCAAAGCTGGTTTGGCTCAGCGGTAGAGCGTCAGTCTGCGGACTGAAAGGTCCCGGGTTCGATTCCGGTCAAGGGCATGTACGTTGGCTGCGGGCATATCCCCAGTGGGGGATGTGCAGGAGGCAGCTGGTCGATGTTTCTCTCTCAGCGACGTTTCTGGCTCTCTATCTCTCTCCCTTCCTCTCTGTAAAAAAAAAAAAAAAAAAAAAAAAAAAAAAGAATGTGGCATCAGCAAAGAATGTTGCAACCCTAAGGGCTTTATTTTTCTGAGTTTTAGTTTAATATTTGAAATTAGCCAGTTCCTAGAAACAGAAAGTCTGCTAGAGCAAAAGTTCTTATAGACCAACCCTACATTAATTGACATAGTGAAAACACCTGGGATGTCATCATTTATGGCTCTAATAATGCTATCAAATACAAATATTTATACATGGTTTTTATTTCCTTATTTATTTGTAACTAGAGGCCCAGTGCATGAAACTTGTGCACGGGGGCGGGAGGTGTCTCTCAACCTAGCCTGCAGCCTCTCCAATCTGGGATCCCTCAAGGGATGTCCAATTGCCCGTTTAGGCCTGATCCCAGTAGGATCGGGCCTAAACAGGCAATTGGACATCTCTCTCACAATCCAGGACTGCTTGCTCCCAGCTGCTCGCCTGCCTGCCTTCCTGACTGCCCCTAATCACTTCTGCCTGTCAGCCTGATCACCCCCTACACTTCCCTTCCAGTCTGATTGATGCCTAACTGCTCCCCTGCTGGCCTGGTTGCCCCTAACTGCCCTCCCCAGTAGGGCTGGTCCCCCCCAACTACCCTCCCCTGCCAACCCAATTACCTCTAACTGCCCTCACCTGCCAGCCTCATCACCCCTAACTGCTTTCCCCTGCTGGTCTGGTCACCCACCCTCCATCCCCCCAGTCCTCCCTTACAGGCCTGGGTCCCCCCAAACTGCCCTCCCCTGCAAGCTGGATTGCCCCCAACTGCCCTCCCTTGCAGGCCTGGTCCCTCCCAACTGCCCTCCCTTGCAGGCCTGGTCCCTCCCAACTGCCCTCCCCTGCTGGCCTGATCGCCCACAACTGCCCTCCCTGTAGGCCTGGTCTGTGCTGGCCAGCTTGTGGTGGCCATCTTTGACCATATGGGGGCAGCCATCTTGTGTGGTGGAGTGACAATCAATTTGCATATTACTCTTTTATTAGATAGGATAACTAAAAGTTGTTGATCCCTGTGGTTTTTCATACTTCTTTCCATTTTCCTGGTTAATCCACTTCTATGGGTTGGTTTCAATTGAATCCTCTTTTGATTCTAGTTTAGATTCCTGTAAATACAAGAATGTCTCTTGTATAAAAGCGAAAGGAGAAAATCCAAAGGCAAGTTATTACAGAAAAATACAGTAGCCAATGGTAAATGTGGTTTAATAGTCAAAAAATATACTAAACAAATTTATAGGAAATATAGTATTAAGTGATATCACAGAAATTCAATCAGCATAATCAAGACTGAGAATTAATAGAACCGCTGATCTTATTTCCTCAACAACAAAAAATGACCAAAATAATGGAGATGGAAAGGGAAGCTCTAGAGTAAAAGAGAACTGAGAGGCAATTCAGCCAATCACAATGTAATAGCCTTATTTCAATCCCTGATCATACAAACTATAAAACATATGTATACACATAATTGGAAATGTAAACAGGATGTTAAGGATTTATTCATAAGTATGTAAATGGTCTTAATCTTGTATTTACAAAATAAGTCCTTATCTTTTAAAGATATATACTGAATTACAAGATGAAATTATATATCTGAAGTTTTCTTCAAAATAATCTTGGGTGAGAGAGGGTAGAGACAGCAGAAAGGAAGTGGGTGGATTATGGATGAAATAAAATTAGCCTTGGGTATATAACGGTTGAAGTTGGGTGATGGGTACATGGGAGTTCATGATACTATTTTTGTATATTTGATTTTTTTCTCTGTCACATATAAAGCTGGTAAAGGCAACAAAGGGAATATTATATGGTATGTATGTGAGTGTGTGTATGAGTGTGTGTGTGTGTGTGTATGTGTGTGTGTGTGTATGTGTGTGTGTGTGTGTGTGTGTGTGTGTGTGTATAGAGGGGGGTCCTTAACCTTAAAAATGAAGAAGCAGCCCAAAAAAAGAAACTACTAATACTAGGGTTCATTTTTACAGAGCTAGCTGCTCTTTGAAAACCCATTGTTAAGACAAGGAATATGTCCCTAAAACAAATTAAGAAGTAGTCAGAGAAGAAAGGGAAATAGCCCAGCCAGCATGGCTCAGTGGTTGAGCATCAGATCTATGAACCAGGAGGTCATGGTTCGATTCCTGGTCAGGGAACAAATATATATAATTTTACTTATTTACTTATTTACTTATTTATTTATTTATTTATTTATTTTTAAGGGAAGGGAAATAGCCAGGTATCCTATTAGTGTTGTTCTTAATGTTTGGTTTCCTTTTTAATTCAACAGCATATTCCCAGCTATGACACAGTGGTGCAAACAACTGGAGACTCGTGGCACATACCATATGATGAAGACCTGGTGGAAAGATATTCTTATGAAGTACCAACCAAATGGCTTTGCCTTCACCAAAAGATATAAAGACTTTTACCCGCATGCTAAATTTGTATTTGGGTGCCCTCCTGCTTGGCATACTTGTTTAGACCATTGCTTCTGTCCTGTTCTGTTTGGTCCAGTTGGTTTTTATGTCAACAAATTGGTTTTTTAATTAAATGAATTATAATATATTTTCACAAGCCATTGCATTTTTTTAATGTTTTTATTGATTTTAGAGAGAGAGGAAGAGAAACATTGATGAGAGAGAAATACAGACCAGCTGCCTCCTGCATGTCCCCCACTGGGGGTTGAGCCTGAAACCCCCAAATGAAATTGAACTGGCAACCTCTTGGCCAGGGCTCTCATATATATGTGCTCAGTGGCCAGATTATTATGATCTCTGAACACATATATCCTATATAATAAAAGGCTAATATGCAAATTGTCCCCTCAACCAGAAGTTTGACCAGCAGGTAGGCGGCCAACTGCCATGTCTCCTTCCCCTGGTCAGGCTGGCCGGACCTTACCCATTCACGAATTCATACACCAGGCCTACCACACATATATATACTGAGTGGCCAGATTATTATGCGTTCAGAGATCATAATAATGTAGCCACACACATGCACACACACACACACACACACACACACACAAATATATGGATTGATTTTTTTTTTCTTTTTTTTAGACTTAACTAGAGCTAGGGAACTTAGTGAAGAGTGAAGCCTACATTTGTCTTACTGGGCCATCTGTTTCACTTGCTTGGGAAACAGGTGCTTCTGGTATTTTGCTACTCCTGACCTCACCTTCCATCAGTAGCAGAACATGCCCTTTCCAAATCTGTTCAAACTTTTATGAACACTATTAACCCATCACTTGCTTTGAGGGTTTTTTTTTTTCTTCATTTAATTACATTTGACTTAGTTTAACTAAGTGATTACATTTAATAGTTGCCTCTCTGTTTTATTCCTTTACTAGGTAGTTGATACTGGGCCTTGATTTTAGCTGAAAATAATCATTTCTGCAGCATTTTATTTTAGGTTTTTCCTTATTCCTACATACCATATGATTTAATGTTTAAAAACAGGCAAAATCAATCAATCTCTGGTGATAAAAATCAGAATAGTAGGCCCTGGCTGGTGTGTCTCAGTTGGTTGACTGTTGTCCCATGCACAGAGAGGTCACCAGTTCCATCCTGGTCAGGGCAGGTTTCCCAGTAGGAGATGTGTGTAGGAGGCAGCCAATGGATGTTTCCCTTCCTCTCTCTCTCAAAAAAAAAAAAAAAAAAAAAAAATCAGAAGAGTAGTTGCCTGAGGAAAGGGGCACAAGAAAACTTTCTGGAGATGATGGGAAGTTCTCAGTGATGCTGTCACAGGGGAAAAATGTGTGTGTGTGTCAAAATTTATTACACTAAACACTTAAAATTGATGCGTTTACAACAATGTGCCTCAAAAAACCATGTTAGCATAAGAAAATAACTATTTCTGAAAAAATGACCTTGTTTACGCCAAACAATATACATGGATATAAGTAGGATGTGTATATGGACAGAGAGACAATTAGGAAAAACAGAGTAGGGTATGTTTCATCTCCTTAACTATTTACTGGATCCAGCACTGCTGCACACCTAGACTAAAGAGCTCTCCATGAAAGTATCTACATTAATAAAAGAGAAACATGCAAATTAACCATCACTCTGCTACACCCACCAGCCAATCAGGAGGGATTATGAAAATTAGAAGGCCATAGATAGTGGCCGCCCAGCTGTCCAGCTGCGGAGTGGCCAGGCGGGGCAGGACACCTGCTGTGAGTGGGAGGGCGGTGGGCAAAGGGATTTACAGGAGCGGCACTCACTCTGGCAGCAGCGAAGACGAAGATGGCAGACTCCGGCCCGAGTCTGAAGCAAAGACAGCAGACTCCGGCCAGAGTGAAGGCCTGGGTTCTGGGTGCCAGAGGAAAACCAGTGCTGGAAGCCAAGGGAAGGAAGGCCTATTGCACGAATCTCTGATAAATAAGAGCGTTGAAAGAGTCTTAAGAATCAGAAAGCTCTCCTTAATGCAATCTTTCTTTTTTAAATTTTATGAACTACATATTTTAAAAAAAAAAAAAAAAAAAAACTGCTTTCAGTGTGCTAAACCTTTTTTAAGGAACTATCCTAATCTTAAGAAAATTTTTTTTAAAAAAGCAGCCTAGCTGGTTTGACTCAATTGAACCTGGACTGGAGTTCCAGGTTCAATTTCAGTCAAGGGTGAGTGCCCAGGTTGTGGGCTCAATCCCCAGTGTGGGGCATTGCAGGATGCGCCCAATCAGTGATTCTCTCTCATTAATGTTTCTATCTCCCTCTCCTCTGAAATCAATAAATATATATATATATATATATATATATATATATATATATATATATATATATTTTTTTTTTTTAAGCATTTGTTAAATAAGCTTGCCTGAAAGCTTAATGTAAATGTCTCACAAGAAACAGAGATGGGAGAGGATACAAAAGGAATCTAGAACTTTAGAGCAGGAGTGAACCTTAAAGAACATAAAGTTCATTTTCTAAAGGAAGAACAGACCCAGCTAGTTAGTGAAACCATTTCAACCGTAACCCACCTCTTCTGATTCCTAGCTAACTATTCTTCCTTCTGTGCACTAATTTAGGCTAGAGTTGTTCATAAAAACTGAAACAAACTGAATGGTAGAGCATACAGTATTTACATTAGAAACTTTGTTAGCCACATAAGGGTAAGTGAGAATGAGAGGAAAAGGACAGGAAGTACCTCTTTAAGGCCCAAATTTCCAGAATGGCCAGCAGTGTAGACAATTGTGAAAGGGAAATTACATTATTTTTAACTCTTTAATAACATTAAAAAACAAAACCCTAATTTCTGCTTGAGGTAAATTAAGGTGCATCTGTTCTTTGACCAAGGGCGGGGAAACCATCCTAGGACCACTCAGAGTAAATCTAACACAGGAACCTGAGGGGAGTGCAGGGTTCTCTGAACAAAGGCGACTGGTAACAAACACATAAACTGTCTTTGTGTATTCTGGTCACCTGAGTCAAACAGGCTACCTGTCACACAAAGTTCAAGACACAACGGAAAGAAGATTAAAAAATCTAACCTGGGGATTGAAAGTGTCTTTAAAGTCAGCCATAAACAACAAAGGTTTTAAAAATGCTTCCCTTTGACATGCTTCTGAATTTATACTGTTCTTTCCTCCTGCTGTTCTTAGGCCCCCCCAAAAAAAGAAAATCTCAAAGGAGAAGATTGAGTTAATTCTCTCAGGGGACCTTCAGGTCTACCTTACCTCAGGTAGTTTGTTCTTCACTTGAAATTAACTTTTCTCGTCAAGTGTAATTAGTGCTTCCTTGGACCTCTAGCAGGTTTCTAACTTTTTCAAAGCTGTCCTAAGGTACTATGAAATGTATCATATGTGTTCACATTAGATTTCTTTTTCCTTGATAGTTCCATTCTAAGGCAGGTGTGGAAAGGCCAGGTGTGTTGTGTAGGCACCTTAATTCTGGTCCATCATGTGAGTCTTATCTTCATTTGCTAAAAATCAAAATTATTGGGGTAATTGAGGATAAAGCATAATAGGTAAAGCAGATCTGGTGTTTTGCCCATCCTTCAGCAATTTGGAAATCACAGAGTGAAAAACTTCGAAGGGATCCTTAGTGGAATGACTAGGTATATGGGAACATGGACCGCTGAGATGGTGGTATTTAGATTTGGGTATTCTTTCCAGAATGGGACTTACCCAGATAGAGTTTTCAGTAAAAGGGACCAGGCAGCGGCTGGAGCCTCCTGTGGCCCAGGGTTAGAGTAGGGTTGCCAGATAATATATAGTACTCTCAGCTAAATTCGAATTTCAGATAAATAATCATTTTTTAGAATAGATATGTCCCAAGAATTGCAAGGATATGTACTAAAAATATTGTCTCTCTGAAATTCACATTTAACCTGGCATCCTGTATTTTTTTATTTGCCAATTCTAGCAACCCTACGTGGGAATTATATGGAAGGGGAATGGAAATGGAGTGTCTATATAGCCCAGCAGTACTGCAGGAAGCAGGAGGGGAGCAAGGATAAGAAAAGAAGGGAGGAGGAAGAAAGAAGACCAGCTTTTTCCTGCCTTGTCCCAGTCAGTGAAAAGCAGTCTGCTTGGTTTTACACTATTTAAACGAAAGGCGTTCCACTAAGAGATCTATTTAAAGGAAACCATAGAAAACAATGAAGTGAAAAAAAAGGGACATCAAAGAGTACATGTAGGAAGTCTTGAGAATTGATCTTTAATTTTTTCTTACCATGTCTATTTTACGGTGTTTCAAGATTCCCATGAAGCCCTCTCCCCCCAAGTTTGTTCTTTGTTGACAATATTTGTTCTGACAGATGCTTTCAGAGACTTAACATAATTTCAACTAGGAATTGAAATAAGCAGGAAGATATTATCTAGTCACTGAAGGGAGCTACAAATAATTTTGCTACTAGAATATCTCTGAAGTGCACTGTTATCAAGTGGATTACGTTAAGATAATCATGATAATTTGCTATAAACAATGTCCTATGAAGGTTTTTTGGTAGCTTCTGACAAATTTTATGTACAGAGTTCATTTCAACCACATTAAAATGACTTCCCCAGTCATCTCTTCGATGTTTGTTAAAGTCCAGCCAAATAAGCAAATATTTGAGAAATCATTGGTAAGAGGCTTTAATTTCTAATATAATAGAAATGTAAGTTCATTTTAAAGAGACCGGTGAGATTGCTCTGTCATTCTCAACAGAACTGGAACATTACTAGGTATCAAGTTTAGTTCACATTTACATACTTAAAGTCTATTATTAAAACACATTCCTTGTGCTTTGACTGCATCAGAACAGAGAATGTCAGTTTCCTGATAGATGCCAATAGAATTCTGTGACGATCCTGCTGTCCTATAGCTCTCTGGGCAGAGTGTACCCTAGGGGAATAGAACGGGGCCTCTACGTCCATGAAACAGGTTCCTTAGGAAATGGTTATAGCAGGTCTTCTGAAGGTTAAGTCCCCTG